ATGCAAACCCGTCTGAACACTGAAGGGCTCCTGTCCACTCACTCTTGCGTACACCCGCCCACAATGCCCTACAATTACACGTTTGTTTTTTTTTCTAATGCATATCATATGCATACCAATGCTCCTAAATTATTTATGAAGTAAAACAGTGATATAAGAATTCATAAATAATTGATTGACATATTACAGGAACTGAGCTACACAGTATAGAAAGGATTGCAACATTTTCCTCAGTTGCTTAGTTGGCTGAAGACTGTTTCTACTGACAAATACAGCAAAACAAAGTGTAATACATCCAAACAACATATTTAAAGGGTTTGTTCACCAAAAAATATATATTTACGCACTGTTTATTCACTCTTAAGTGGTTTCTAACCACTTCATAAGTATCTATATTCTCTATTGTTCTCTATTTATTTTCATGAATGCTGAAAACCTGTAAGCATTGACATTCATACAAACTCTGGAAGTCATTGAATACTGGTTTCCGGCTGTCTTTTTAAAATCTTCTTTAGTGTAAGCAGACTTGAAACCAGAAAAGGGTGAGTAAATAATGGCAGTATATCATTTTTGGGTGAACTATCATTTTAAAAACATCAACACCTATTATTACACTTAAACAGAGAAAGTGGAAGTCAAATGTTGCCTTTGACCTATAATAAGGGGTGGTTGCAACAATTCACGAGGGCAGTTGCAACATTTATTAAAAATCGAAAAAGAGAAAGAACAAACCTTATTTTGCAATGTCCTACTGAATTCTTAGAGATAGAATAAGGTATCAATCACAGATTACATAATACATTTGCACTGTAATATATTGTTTTGGTTAGGTGCGTAGCAACCGGGGAGAGGGGGTTTGTGGGAGTGTGTGTGTGGGGTTGTATGTCCCTCATACTTTTAGAGACAGACCATTTAGAAACAGGTGATTAATAATTACATGAACGTAAACTTTTGGATCTTGATAGGCAGTCCCCCCCACTTTTTACGCTACGCCCCTGATTACAAAATTGAAATGGATCTGTGAAAGCTTAATGAACTTTAAGTGCATTTTGTAATATATTTTTACTGTAAAAATATCCGTAGATTAGCAGTTTTTCATATTTTGTGGTTCATGTTTTTATTTTTTATGTTCCTCTCTTTATTTCTGCATTTGGAGTGCATTATGAGACATTGATCTTTCTTCCAACAACCTTACATTTTTGGAAAAAGTGACTTTTAACATTTTTAATAGTTTAAAGTGATATATTGCCTGGGTTGGTGTTGTATTTATGGTACAAAAACCTTGTAATAAAAACACAAATTACAGATTTTTGTACTTTCTACATTTAAAAAAATAAAAATGTTTGTTCAAAGGACTTATTCAAAAAAAGCTTAAACAACACAATTCTTGAGCTTTTGGGCACCTCTTTATTGTTTTATGTTTAATCAACTTAAATTTCTTCATGTTGTCCCTACACAAATCAACTGTGTGGAACCCAGCACTGTTTTACAGTATATGAATAAACAGATACCGTGTTAAACAGTTGAATATATGGCTTACAGGTTCACAAATGGGCGATGCAGTGGCACAGTAGGTATGGGTGTCGCCTCACAGCAAGAAGGTTGCTGGTTTGAGCCTCGGCTGGGTCGGTTGACGTTTCTGTGTGGAGTTTGCATGTTCTCCCTGCATTTTTTCCAGACGATCCAAAGACATGCGGTACAGGTGAATTGGGTAGGCTAAATTGTCTGTAGTGTTTGAGGGTGGATGCTAAAAGAAGAAATGAGTTCACAAATGTGTACTGACAATGTGTCCCCATAAACCAACTGGCTTTAAAATCATGTTTATTTATCTTTTTTTTTGTTTTGCTATTGTAAATTGACTTTCTTTAGGTAGGTTTAGGAGATTAATTTAGGAGAATATAGTCTGTACAGTATAAAAACAATTAGGCCAATTCATTATATGCAGCACAAGTTCCTGTAAACCACATACAAATTTGTATCTATGTGCATATGTGTATGACAGAGTGTAAGAGAGAAGAAAACCACATCAGATTAAAGCTTCCCAAAGTGTATGTGTGTGTGTTGTTGGTAAATAAATGTTGTAAAGTGTGAATCTGCATGCTGGTAAACTCATAATTTGTAAGCACACATGATGTAGCTTGTGTGAGAGAAGGAAACTACCACATCATTTCTCTTTCATTGTTCAGAAAAGACCCGTGTGGGAGTCCTTCACAACTGACCCCTGTTACAACTCTCTCCTACTCTTATATCAACAGTGCAGCATTATGATTTCTATAACTGTTGAACATCAGAGTTATTCTGCACTTAGGAATGAGCCTGCAGCTTTCTGTGCAATCTCCACTCAACTCTGCGGACGTGTAAACTCAGGCATGCTTGCTTGAGGTGTTGGTAATCAATGATTTGAACGCTATCTCACAAGGATTCATAACATTTTGATCTAGTGGCTAATTTGTATGAATTTGTACAATCGAATTCATACAATTTAATAAGATTTGCTCATCTTCCAATGACAGTTGGGTTTAGGTGCCACGCTTCCTTTTATTAATCATACATTTTTGTAGGACTAAACTTATAAATTCGTATGAATTAGCCACTAAACTGACAAAACGTGAAATACCGCCATGTTTCCTCGTGAGATCAGGCTGATGGTGTATTCTTACTTGTCACATCAACACATTTGAGTTTCTCGATGATGAAAAGAGTTTTTTTTTTCTTCGTTCGTGAAGCAGACCTGCGTAAGCTTCTGTTTATGTTCTTTATGTTCACTGATTAATATTTATATATGAATCAAAGTCTATAATAAGGCATGTCACGTTTATTTATACAGCACATTTCAAACACAATGGTAATTCAAAGTGCTTTACTTAAACAGGAATAAAATACATAGGAAAATAAAAATAATAAAAATAATTAAAAATGGTTAAAAACAGATTAAAATGTGTTAAATCAGATTATAAAAGAATGAAAAAGAAAAGAAAGACATAATAGTGCGATCTCTCGGACATAGCACGGTGCTCATTCAGTAAAGGCACAGCTAAACAGATGTGTTTTCAGTCTCGATTTGAATGTGCCTAATGTTGGAGCACATCTGATCATTTCTGGAAGCTGATTCCAGCGGCGGGGGGTGTAGACGCTAAAGGCGGATTCACCCTGCTTTGACTGAACTCTTGGAATTTCTTGTTTATTTGATCTTAAAGATCTGAGTGATCTGTTGGGTTTGTATTCAGTCAACATATCTGTAATATGTTTTGAGGTCCTAGGTCTTTAGTGATTTATAGACCAGTAATAATACTTTAAACTCTATTCTGATTGTAACAGGGAGCCAGCGTAGAGACCTGAGATCAGGTGTGATGTGATCTGATTTTCTGGTTCTGGTCAGAATCCTGGCAGAAGTGTTCTGGATGAGCTGTAGCCATCCGACTGTCTTTTTGGGAAGGCTGATGAGGAGGCCGTTACAGTAATTCCTCACTGGAAACAAATCATCAATCTTTTGCAATTGTTTTGAGATGATAGTATGCTGATTTACTTACTGCTTTGACATGATTGAAAATCATATCTGACTTCAGAATGCAAATCAAATATGCTGACATGGACTTATCGATTGATATGGATTTATATTGTTTTTTTACGGATGTTTTCAAGCATCAGGTGATCAGATTTGTGCCGCAAAGATGAAAGTAAGTTTTCTAGTTTCTGAATTTCATGAAGATGACTAAATAAACTGACCCTTTACATTTTTGAATCTCTATTTAATCAATTCATATTCTTTGTTCAACATGTATAGACAATGTTTATAGTCTTATACGTCTTATATTATATATACTTGCAAAAGTCACAAAGAACTTGCACAGGAAACAAACATTTCCAATTTGTTCTCTTCTATTAGTCTTAACATTTTTAACCTTTTCAGAATATCTGCAGACCCTTTACATTTGATCTGTGCTTGACATTTCTCTTCTCACATTTTTTTAAATATAAAAAGAAATTCTTTCACAACCGCTTGACTACAATTCTAGGTCATTCACTCATTTTCCTTTGGCTCAGTCCCTTTATTTATCAGAGGTTTATTTACCACAGCGGAATGAACTGCCACTGAGCTAACCACTGAGCCACCATGTCACCCCAATTCTAGGTCATGTTGTGGGTATTTAATGGGTCATTTCTGGACACAGGGCCACACAAGGATTCATTCTGCTGTGACACAAGTACAGATGAAGAATGTGAGAAAGTCAACAAGAATGCTCAGACATGGAAAAAAAGCCACTGCATTTACCCTGGTGTGTGAAGTGCTCTGGCAAATGCATTGATACTAGTGTGATCACTTGGCGCAATTGAAAAAAATGAAATGTTTGTGAAAGTATTTAGGATAGGTTACAAGAGTGTTGTATTTTCTCTCTTTCAGAACTGTTTGAAATGAATGAGTAAATTGAAGGGAGGAGATGTGGGCCAAAAAACAAACAGTTTAACAAAGAAACATCAGTCTGACTAATACAAGGGCTCTTCAACACGTTGCCATGACAACTGGCACTGGGGTTAGGGTTTGGGTCAGACTGAGAGAAATGACTCCACGTTTTGTGTTGTGAGAACAATAAATGTTTTCAGCGGTTTTGTAGAGACAATAGCACTGTGGCTGGCAAAAAAAATACTCAACCTGATCAACAGCCTCTTTGTGTCCAGATAGTAGAATGCATCCTGATCACAAGGGGAATGTAAATCAAAAAAACCTGACAGTGAAACTAGATTTATACACCATTATCTTTTATTTACTCCAAATAAAAAAGAAATAACACATAAAAAAACAACCCAAAAAGTTAACTAATCTGAGACTTTTGGTTGGGCTAAACATGATAGCAAACTGTTGAAAAATCCCACTGCACAGCATTATTTTACAAAGTTGATAACATATAATCGCAGTCATAAACATGAAACTCAAAATCATACACATCTTTAGGCAAGATTAGCTCACTATCGGGAAAAGAGGAAGAAAAAAAATGCAGTCTGCCTATATTTCAATCTGGAGCTGTACAACAAAGATGTTTTCCTCATCCTTTACCTCCTACACAGCATTTTAAAGGGGAAAAAAAAGCAGAAAATGTCATAATAATGCCATAAACTTGTCATAAAATTATCTTATCTTACTATTCACACCAGTCTGTGTAACCTTCAGCCCTTACGATGATCAGAGCTAAAAACAATCTGCTTCACACCAATGTGCTCTTAGCTGACCTTCAGCCGACATCCATCCAGCGCTTCTGAGAACAGGACATCAGCACCTTTGAACAGCTGAACCAGCGCCAACAAACTGGTTAACTGATTGCTTGTGCAGGTTGGCAGAAGTTTAGGGGATAGTTCACCCAAAAATGTAAATTCTCTCATCATTTAATCACCCTTTCAATTCTGTCTTCTGTTGAACACAAAAGAAGATATTTAGTAAAATGTTAGAAACCAGTAACCATTGACCTCTATAGTATTTATTTTTCTATTATGGAAGTCAGTGGTTACAGCTTTCTTCAAAATATATTTATTTTAATGTTCCACAGAAGAAAAAAAAAACACTTTAGCGTGAGTAACTAATGAGCAAACCTTCATTTTTTGGTGAACTATCCCTTTAACTGGCTAGTTAGTGTGCTTTTTACTCAACATTGAATAAACCAGTTTGACTATAGTCTGGAGTTCAGCCTGTCCCCAAAACCCACCGTACAGATGACACAATCACAAACATCTATGTACAAGCACATACATACTACGCAATACCTGAGGCCTTGTGATAGAATGAATGGGATCGATTCATTTTTGCCTTTTTTTGTGAAGTATACAATCGAGAATATTTACGTATAAACACACACAGTGTGTATCCCGATTCATTGTGCGCGTTCTTTTCTGCTAACAGTGTCATATTTTCCCATCATGCTCTTACTGCAATTGTAAAGTCTTAAAGGGATAGTTCACTCAAAATGACAAGTCCGTTCCAAACGGTTTTGTTTCACAAAACTATTTTTAAGCAATAAAAATCCAAAACAACCTGCTGACAATTAGATGCATCTTTCTTTTGTGTCTCAAGTAAGACAGAGAGACTAAATATCTTTGCATCTTGGGCTGAACTATCCCATTTTGGGTAAGTGGCAGGTCATCGTGAAACCCAATCATAAAGACACAAATCTCACAGAATCACACACACATTCAGTAAACTCTCAATCAAACACACACAATGATCTCACACATCCACGAGCGCGCACAGACACAAACACGCCACAACCAGACACATGCCCTCACAAACGGGAGAAAACGTTCAAGAGGTGACAGGCACAAAGGCGCTGAACAATAAACAATGGAGGCCTAAAAGCTCCATTTGTCCTCCTGCTCTCCTGTTTGTGCGAGTGTGTCTGTAGGCGCTTGCTGGCCGGAGACGCTTAAAAAGTGCATCAGACATGCCGAGGACAGCGTCCCCCTGGGTCAGCCATGTTCATGCCACGCATTTCTCCCTCCTCGTAGTCATCAGTGTCTGATGAATTCTCATCATCATAAGGAGCAGACACCTCGCTGACCGAGCTCTAAATAAGAGAGACACACACAGCGTGGGGTTTAAAATGACACACGTTAGCATCTTCAATTTTTTTCAATTGGATGGGGGACAAATGGGGACTTACGGAGCGCACCACTGACTCGCGGAATGGTGGGCACACCATGTGGAATCGTGGGATGGAAACGTCAAACACTTCCTCTTTGTTCTTGAGCCGGTGGAATGTGTAGTGGCCTTCCATGTACTCCGAAGTAGTGGAAAACGTGGTGCAGCTGGCATACTCGTGAACTTTGCCAGGTGTCATCACTGGAAACTCACCTGTGTTTACATCGACACAAACAAACAATGTAAACATCACATTATGAATCAAGATGAGCCTTAAATATGTTGGTTACTAAACTGTTCTAGTTTATTCTTCACTTACAGACAGGGACGGGCTCTTACCCACAACGCCAGGTCCTCGGACCTCCTCCACGTTTCCATTTGCGTTTGTGATCTTCCAGTAGCGGCTGTCCAGCTGGCAAGCTTTCTCTGGCAGGGCCGACTTCGCCATCTCGATCCTGATGCATATAGGATGATGGTACAGCTCAGACGTCATAGAGTCAACTCAATGCATCATCCTGTGTCAAGTCTTAGCACAGCTGTGTGGCGTTACAGCAAGTTACAGCACAAAGCTGCATCATCAGTTCAGTTGGAATTCAGATGCCTATTTTTTTGGTAAGATAGAAGTACTGGGACAAAATAGCAATTGAGTAATAATGGTATTAGTTTTATTGTATTAATTTGAAGCCTTTAGAAGTGTGTACTAAATAGATTAGATTCTGTAGGGCAGAAAACAGTATCAAACATGCCAACAATATGAACTCTTACAGGCTTCTGCTAGAATCGAAATGTTTGAGTGTCAAAATCATCACAATCACTCAATATATTGTGCATCTTGATCTTTGTTGATCTCTTACATTCACAAACAGCTATAGACCATTTTGAAGAGTGTAAACAATAGCAATGTTCCTTTACTGTTTAATATTTTTAATTTCCATAGCTTCCGAGAATCCAAAAAGGTCCATATATTGATAAATAATGTTATGACAACTGTTTTAATATGATTGAATTGCCTCTTGTTACAGTTATGATATAGTTTGATAACAAGCAGGAAATGATAACAAGCAGGAAATGTTCAAGGGCCAACGACATAACCACATTTAAATGGTCTATATTAACGATAATATCTATAAGCATAATAGGCGCACTTTGGTGAATAATTCAAACACTGACTGAATCAGCCATTTAAAGAAATATTTTGAATGAACAACACAATGAGTGCACCTACTGGCATGTACACTGGTGAATTCACTTCATTTAACGTAAACAGATTAGAGCTGCCACTCTATACTTTTGTGCCAGTACATCTAAATGGCACTTCATCTTCTGTAGTGCAAAGATTTATTCTCTTGATAGTTATTTGATTTGATTGGTTACACTGTTTCAATATTCTCATTGAATGTATTAAAATAACATGAAAGAATAAAAAACATGCAGGGCTCGAAATTAACTTTTTTACTTGGTAGCACCGGTGCTCCCAACATTAAATATTTAGGAGCACCAGAAAAATTTTTGGAGCACCCACCAAAAATAAATGAGCACCATTGCAAATTGTATTTTAAGGTATTTATTGTATTTTAAAACAACACCAATAAGGACTAACAAAAAACAGAAACAACTATCTAACTAATGCTGAGATGACATTGATATTTGAGTGCAATAATTCCAAAATGTATGTCTAATAATTATAGAATATTAATGATGATGAAAATGACAATAGTAGTAACAATGAATTACATTTCTCATTATGATGCAGCCTTGAATGTGCTTGACTGTAAGTTGTCTGCTACTTTATGAAAAATAAATGTATGCTTTGCATCAAACAAAAATGAAGCATTGCAGTAAGAAATATTCATGTTGAACTATTGTTTTATATGCATGTCAATTTAATAAATAATATTTCAGTTACAAAACACAAAAGACTATAATAAATCATTCAATTCAACGCTGAAAGCTGCAAAGCAGTCATCAGTGATAAATAATGTAATAGAAAAATAATATACATCTCAAGAAAGAACGGACAAAAGAAAGTCTCAGTTCTATCACTCTTTTAAAGTTTTGATTTCGGTTTGTCATTTTAGATGCTCAGTCTTGTTACGAGCTGATCTTCATTTTTCTGTGTTAGTGGAAAAGCAGGCGAGTCAGCCAGACCAATATATGAGCGGGGCAGAGCAGGATTCTCGCGATGACCACCGGCGCAATACCGCTCTTTGTTATAAGCCGCAGTTTCAGTGTAAACTTAGTAAAGGCAAGCTTTTTTAGCGATGATGTGTACAGTATTAGATTTTACATTTAGCAAACATTTGCGCTGAACACGCAGTGAATGCAACGCATTAAGATTCAGGCACCTTCTCTGAAAACACTCGATTGATCTCAGCTGGCGGATCAATATTCACCACTTGTCATGCTCTTATCTGCGCTATTATTAATATAATTATTATACCTTTAGGTGGGGTTTGCAAACCTGTGTACTTTTCACTCTTCAGCCGTTTGCATTCCCGGCGGTCACAAAAGCTCCCTGTCATCTGACAGCGGAAAGCCTTAATATTAACCAATATAGCGGCAAGGAAGAGCGGTTCGCCACATTTTTAGAAAAAAATCAAAACAGGTTGCACTACAATTTTTTTATGCAGTCTCACAAATGCTCCCAAATATATTATAAGGTCGCATAGCTTAAATTTCGGGCGTGTGTGTGACCAAAATGGTCGCAATTTCGAGCCCTGACATGGTTCTTTAAATAGATTTTGAAAAAAGACACTATAATTATAACTTTTAATTCCCTTCAGATCAGTTTAAGGGTACACATACTGCCTTGTTGTAAAAATATTTCATTATTAATGTGAAAATATGTTGATTTGATATTTTTGTCTTTAGCCTATAGCACACCTCTAGAGCCATAAGTAGGATCAGACAGAATCTATGGGAATGTTTAGCCATTTTGCACAGAATTTAGTAAAGTAACTAAAGTATAGTGCGAGTATAGTACTACTTAACTTCTTAACTTTACAATTAGAACCACTTGTTTGGTAAACAAAATTGCTCATATATCTGCTTAAAGACTAAAAATGTTAATATTTTTGCCTTTTTCTTTTTAATAAACATTTGGATTGTTTAAGAAGATATATTAAACAAACTTCTTCTCACTGGCATACTGTAGAAGTAGATGCAGCTTACTGGAAAGATAGAATGCCATCGATATCTGAAAATAACTTTGTGAACTTTCTTGTACAATGAGATGAGCTTAAAGGTGTCAAGACAGAATGTTGCAGAGCATGCTTTATCTGATAATTATGTCTGTCAGCTTGTGTGTACAAAGGAATTGCAGAAAAAAGGGAAGTATTTTATTGATTGAATGATTGACAAGTGACAAATTCCGCTAAACTCCACCTGTTAATATCAGCTGTGTATAAAAACTTGAGTCAGGAAATGTACATTTTGTTGCGCACCTCCTTAATGTAATTCTTGCATTGCATTGGGGATACAGAGAATTTTGTTCATCGAATTATTAATTTGTACCTAATAAATTAGTAATATTTTTGACATTGAAGACAATCCTCTCCTGACCTTTTTTATTGAACATGCATGGAATTGGTTGAATAATCCAACACTTTACAAACATAAATATTCTATTTAAGTCCAATATACATTGGCTTTTTATTTAATATTACTGAAATTAATATAAAAACGTAATAAATATATATGCACACGTTTACACAAGTAAACAAATAAACTCAATAATGGGCTAAATAGTCTGCAGAAGCTTTTCTGGATTTCTGCAGGCACACATTTAATTTGGACCTATCCATAAGCAAAGAATGTTATTACTATGTAATATACTACAGAATGTAATATATATGTACCACATGTTTTTAGACTGTGAGGGGAAACTGGAGCACCCAGAGGAAACCCATGTAAACACGGGGTGACCATGCAAACTCCATACAGAAATGCCAACTGACCCAGCCGAGGCTTGAACCAGTGACCTTCTTGCTGTGAGATCATGACGCCCCATTAGAATATAATGACTATGTAATTACTATATTGACATGTCCGTGGATTTTTGTAGTACCTGATTCTGTAGGTGAAGAAAAAGTGTGGCGGATGGACTGAACTGAGCTCTGGCAGGAAGGAGGTAGAGACTGATACAGTGATGTCACCAGTGGTTGCCACACAGCGCTTATCATGGACATACCTGAATAAACATAAGGATGGCAACTTTGTCATATGTTTCTGTGATTTCAGATGCTTGCATAAATTACTAAGTAAAAACAGAAGGAAAACCTGAAGATCTGGTCCCGAATGATGGGGTATTCGCCTGTTACAACGTTGTCAACATATGAAGTAAACCACTCAGTAAAATTAGAACCTAAAAAAGCAGGAGAGAGAAGGATTCAAATAATTTGAACCGCCCATAAAACTACAGTGCATTAATGCTTCCTTTCACTCTTCGTTACCAGTAATGAACATGTCAATCGCAGAGGGATCTTGTGCCAGTTGATCCTGTGCAGAAAAGGCATAAACAGAACAATCAAGTACTCAGAAGAAAAGAGCACCTCTCACTGGTCAGAGTGGAACAACACAATGACTGCACAAGCAAAAATCCTATCTAAAGTGATTAACTGTTGTAGAAGGAAAATGTATACTTGAAAATGTATATAAGATAAGTTTTGGATAAGAGATTTAAGGATAACACTTTAAACAATGTTTTCTTTTACATTGCAGCTCTCTGGCGAGACATAGCCAGACAGGATATATATTTCTGCGAATTGAGTTTCTTTTTTTCTGCAAAGGAGTTTCCTTTCTGAAACCCCTAAGCCATGCTCGCTGGCTAGATACAGAAAAGATAGGATATTTATTTCTGTGAGATGAGTTTCTGCTTTACAGCAGAGGCGTTTCCTTTTCTTTTTGATACACCTGTGAAATGTTTCTTTTTCTACTTTCATGAAGCCATTTCTGGACTTATTTCCCCTCGTCTTTTAGAAATAGGTTGAAGATGTTTTCACAGCTCCGCTGAAGTGTATAAATAAGCTGTACTTTATAAAAAAAAGAGTTAGACACTTGGTGAACTTCACTCTTAAATTTTCCAGGGACTCCTGAACTTAAAACTCCCTTTAACTTCCACCCAGTCAAAATTGCAGTTGATCGTCTCTTAATAAATAGTTCCCAAAAATGAAAATCAGTCCATTATTTACTCACCCTCAAGCCTTCCTCAATGTACATAAGTCGCTTCTCTCAGATGAACACAGCTTTTAGATGCACATAAATTTGTAAAACTAACCCATATGCTACCAAGAGGTTATCGCATGTCTTTTTGGAGCAGATTGAATCATGTTTTAATTGAAGTTATAAACTTAAATCGGGCAACCCAGTGGCGCAGTAGATAGTGCTGTCGCCTCACAGCAAGAAGGTCGCTGGTTCGAGCCTCGGCTGGGTCAGTTGGCATTTCTGTGTGGAGTTTGCATGTTCTCTCTGCTTTCGCGTGGGTTTCCTCCGGGTGCTCCGGTTTCCCCCACAGTCCAAAGACATGCGCTATAGGTGAATTGGGTAGGCTTAATTGTCCGTAGTGAATGAGTGTGTATGTATCTTGCAGCTGAAAAGGTCATCCGCCAGGTAAAACATATGCTGGATAGGTCGGCGGTTCATTCCGCTGTGGCGACCCCAGATTAATAAAGGGACTAAGCCAAAAAGAAAATGAATGAATGAATGAACTTAAACCATGATTTAAATGACCTCCAGCAGCTGCCAAATGCTTGTTCGTAAGACACATTCATGATGAAGCATGGCTGCTGAATGAGACATGACCTAAGGTGCATTTTTAGATGAACAAGGATAACTAAACACAGCTAACTAATTCAAAGTTAAAAATTAAATGTCAGATAATTTCAAAGTAAAAGAAAAAAATATATTTTTACAACAGACATATGCGGTTTTGAGAGCTTAGAAAAATCTAAAACTATCTAACTCCATTCTACAGCTTGAAAGAGCTGATATAAAATTGAAACCTGCTCCAACTGTAATCATCTAAAAGAAGGGAGTCATATGCACTGAGACTATTGTGATGTCTTTATTAGATGTTTGAGCTCCATTTTCTCCATTAACTGCAAGGATCCATTAATGAGTAAGTGACTTAATGCTAAATTTCTCTAATTCTGATGATGAACCTCTACATCTCGCATGGCCTGAGGGTGGGTAGGTACATTTCTTTTTTGTGGTAAATATTTACAATGTGACCTCCAGCTTCTATATTACCTCTGACTGTTTTCACAAAAGACAATTGAACGAGTGTGTATTTGTGCATGAAATTTGTAGTGATGTGAGAGTGGGGATCTGACCGGGCACTGATAGAAGATCTCACTGCGTGTTCGTCCCTCTGTGGTCTCCAGGGCCATGTACTGGCTAAGGCCGGTATGGAAGCAAAATGTGAGTGGAAGACACTGCCGCATACCCTTCCTCTGCTGAAACCCTCCCGCTGCCGTCTCAATATCCAGCAGGTCCTCTGAGCGATAGTGATTGGACAAAGCCATGCTGCCCATCAGCCTGTGGAGAGAAGAAGAAGTAAGCTTTATGTTCTGATCACACTGAACGAAGTTTGTACACTTATTGTTATTTAAATAGATAGTTCATCCAAAACTGAAAATTCGGTCATCATTTACTCACCCTTTACTTGACACAAACCTGTTTGAGTTTCTTTCTTCTGCTGAACACAAAACAAGTTATTTTGAAGAATGATGGAAAGCAGCAGCCATTGACTTCCTTATTATGATTTGTTCCTACTATGAATGTCAATGGCTGCTGGTTTACAACATTCTTCAAAACACCTTCATTTGTGTTCAACAAAATAAATAAATAAATATATAGAACCACTCGAGTGTGAGTAAATGGTGAGAAAGTTTTCATTTTTGGGTGAACTATGCACTTTATTTCTTCCTGACTGAAGAGAAAAAGATTAACACCTTACATGGCATTTTTATTTTGAAAGTGAGTTAACCCTTTAAGCATGTCAAATTGTAAAACAAATAGACAACAAAGCAAAATTACACAAACATTTTTTAAAACGATTAAAGATATTCTCAGATGGCTTACCCAGGGACCACTAGCTTCTGTCCATTGTGTATCCTATAAGAGCAACGGTAGTCATTAGGCAGTTTGCAGCCAATCTGGGCCTCAATGGTGTCCAGCTCATCCTCCCTTACTCCTTCTTCTCAGAGAAAAGAAAAACAAAACCCGTCAGTAGACAATAATCCTATGATAGAACTTAACACCCATAGGTTTTCACAATTATGTATGGTTGATTAACAGTTTAGACAGACCTTTAAGTGACGCTATCATTCGAGGACATTTCTGGTTTAGGAAGTTCTTTAGATCATCCCAGGCTTTCTTGAGAGTGCTGTAGTAGTCAAAATAACGACCCAGATCAGCATAATACTCCCGGAAAAGATCTTTCCAGGAAAGGCCTCGTTGGGTTTTGTCTGCCCTGGAAAGAAAAGATCATCAACATCAAATTTTTACTACAATTGATGCATAAATCCAACAAAAAGATGATAAAAATGACATAAATTAATCAAGTAGGCAATTATGAGCTTACTCTGAAAGAAGCCAGTGTTTCTGACAAAGTCTCTTCCATAGAGGGTTATGACCTGTCAGCTCATTGAGACGACGACTTACAAAACTGCAGCTGAGGGGAAGATAAGCCAAGACATAAAATCACACACAAATGTTAGTTAGAGGGATTTCCAACTAATAAGGGGAAACAAATAACATATTAACCCCTTTATAGGGCACTCACTGAAATGGTGTTACAGGGGGTTATTACAAGATATTTATGACTTGAAAAAAATGCTAATTATGTTGTAAACAATGTTAATGAAGTTTCCATACATGAGTCCTCCCTCGATACAGGGTTAAAACATAAAATAATATCATAATATTAAACTTCAAGCAGATTTTTGAATAATGTTGTAGATGTTTAAACTTTACTTGCAATTCTTTAATAATTTAAGGGATTATCTGTGTCTAATTTACTGAATTATATACATAGGTGAAATGTTGAGTGTATAACTTAAATGGAACAGAAAACTTCCTGAAGAACTTTGACAAACATTCAATCCCTTCAGACTGCAAAGTGGTAAACGTTAAAATGGCGTAAAGCTTCTGACTTTAGGGTAGCTCTAGCTCCTATAAGTATTTAGGAAACTCTAGTTTGACAGCTGTCTAGTTTGACAACTCTATTGTCACAGCTTCCAGCTGACAAACATCATGATTGAGGTAAAGTTGGTTTTATATTTGCACATTAGTTCAGAGACATGCTACTTTTATTGTTTGACATGGTAATTTGAATATTTGGTTTGAAATCACATTTAGGTATTACTTTAAAACAATATTAGCACTTATTAATTCACTGTAAGCAATGATGTGCTTTGATAGTCATTGGCTGCTAATATGTTTACACTATTTGAATTTAGCAAATAATACTTTTCTGAAATGATATTATTAAAGAGAAAGTCAGAATGTGCACATATTAAACCAACTTTACCTTAATAGCGTCACGTAATGCTCAATTTTCAGATCAAAATATTTAGCATCAAAATCACTAACTTATAATCATTGAGGTAAAGTTAGTTTTATATGTGCACATTCTGACTTTCTCCCTAATAATATCATTTCAGAAAAGTATTATTTGCCAATGATAAATAGTGAAATCATATTAGCAACCAATGACTATCAAAGCACAACATTTTTAACAGTGAATTAAATAGCCATACTTGCGACTTCAGAAAAAAATTGTTCAAAGGGAGCATGTCTCTGAATGTGCGAATATAAAACCAGCTTTACCTCAATTTCATAACCATCAGTGCACATACAGTAAACTTGCAGTTGAAGGAGAAATAAAGCTTTAGTGATGTCCATCCGTGCAGTCTCCTATCGCATTCTTACTGTCAACTTACATAAAGTCATGCACTTTCATCTTTAAAGAAAAAGATGCAGGAGATGACCGGTGTAACAGTTCATACTGTGATAGATGTATTTTAATAGTGACTAAAAACGGAGAATATCGCCGTAGAATATGCCTATCAAAAGCACTTGCTAGAGTAAAATCATTTGCTATACCATTAGCTTAGCAAGCTAACTGTGCAGCTGATATTATTCTTCAAGATCATTCAAGGAAGAAACTTGCTTAAATCGTGCTTGCTGTTGCACGGACTAACGGTATGGCTCGAGTGTAATGTCTACCTGATAAGATCTCGGAAGTCCAGGAATGACAGCACCAGAAGTAAGGGATCAGACGGTAAGTTATCCAAGCTGAGCGCTATGGACGTTGCCATCTTGGTGGCGAATGCAGAAGCGAAACTCCGCCCCTTGATGCGATGACAAGAGGGCGTGTCCGCACGCTGTTCTGTTATCAAATACTGCGCACATGTCGCCTGCTTTAACTTGACGATTAACCAAGTGAGGAGATGAGATCGAGATAATGTTTACGATTTTTGTTCTCATTACTTTTATAGAAGAAGTATTAATAAAAAATGAATAAAACTTGTTGCCAATTATAAGATCGACCAAATAGAGTAATGTAGCTAACACATATATAATTTATGTAAATGATGTTTAAAAATTGACTTTGTAATGACTTTTTTAATAAACAATATAAAGCTGCAATATGTAGCCCAGAACAATATTCAACAATGAATAAATAAAAACATTTACAGCAAAACTAAGCACGTCTTGACAGAATCAATGATCCCCATTTTACATTTTTTGTCATTTACCTACTTCTCTGGCAATACTAAATAAAAAACATTATTATTTACCATTGTTAGTTCATTTCTGCAGTTAGGCCTATATATTTGTTATAATAATGAAAATACTTTAAAAACTTTAATAAACAAGTACAATCCTTTAAAGCTGAAATCTTGACTGTAGCAAAATTCAATGGATATTAAGTGGTTATATTTTAAATTATTACACATCTCAAGGCATTTTTATTAATGTGGGAAAAACACACCAACATTATAGTGACACAATGAATCATCAGTGAGAAACACAATTCTTCAGTGGTGTTACCCTGAAGAAAAGTAACACCAGCAGGAGAAACACCAGTGACAATTTTCATTAGAGAATGCAACCCATCATATTATGCTGACTTAATTAAGGAGATGAATCCATTTAAATCTTTTTTTTTTTTTTTTTTTTACAATTCCTTAAGAATAAAGGTCACATCTAGTGTTGGGGAAAGTTACTTTAAAAAGTAATGCATTACAATATTGAGTTACTCCCCCCAAAAGTAACTAGTGTACTTTTTATGGTAAGTATGTGTTACGTTACTTTTCAGTTACTTTTGCCTTACTTTTTCTGAAATGGCTGAAGCTTAATTTCTTTCAGAACTTGCAATTAACAACACACTGTATAACTTACACCCACAATTATCTTTAAAAACACATTAAGGATAATGTTATCTGAGAACTTCCTGAGCCCAGATCTATACACACCATATACAGATTATTGAGTTTAAAGCAATGTTTGCTACTTTTATTTGTCGTAAGTTAAATCACTGTCCATTGAGACAATTCCCTTTTCCTTTTCATCCATGTGTTCAAAATAATGAAGACATTCTCTCATTAACTCTGTGATAAATTGTGACTACTTTCATTTTAATTCAGCATTTTTTTAAGTTTAAAAATTAATTAAACTAAAAAAGTGACTTGCATTAAATTAGAAAAAGTTACTCAAATATTATTACTTATTTTTTCAAAAGTAGTCCGTTACTTTACTCGTTACTTAGAAAGGAATTATACTACGTAACTCGCGTTACTTCTACCTTACCCCAACACTGGTCACACCTCCAGTGTAGCAATTACCTTGTGACTGTGGTGACAAGTAGTTTTGTAGTGATTAGAATTTTACATGTTTAAAGAACAGTTATTGTTACAATGATGCCTCAAAATGGTGCGTTGTAATAGTAAATTGTAAACCTAAAGAGCTTTTCGAGTGTAATATTCTGTTAAGTATAGGAACAGAATTACTGAAATCCACGCCAGTCCAAATAGAGTCCACGTGGCATTGAAAAACATGCAATTTGGTTGTCCTTAAAAATTGGGTAAGTAAACTACCTAAGACTACTTTTTCATAAGTTAATGCCCTAGTAGTTCTACTAAAACGATTCTGTTAAGGTGATTTTTTAAGGCTGTTTAGGTTTTATTATTTTATAGCCTCAAGATGGCGTCACAGGTCTATGTTCTCTCTGGCGTTCTCAAGGTCAAAGCGATCAAACGTTGCAGCCTCATGACAAGCATTTGATTTACAGCTTCATTATTTTAAAGGAATGAATGTCAAACTTAAATATATCTTAAAGAGCAGACCTGGCCTTTTGCCTGATTAAATAACATTAATGTCCAAGCCTATTATTATTTTCTAGCCTATGGTGCTGGCTATCCTATCACTTGAAACCTTTACCATAATCTTTTTATTTCAACAAAGGTTCTTAAAGTGTAAAAAGTTTCTTTAGAAAATACTTTTATTAAGAAATGTTCAATAAGGAAACCCCAAATGTTTCTATATATTTTTCTATATGACACTTTGAAATAAACCATTAATTTTAGAGGCTATAGCACTAGTTGCACTCGAGAGTACATCATCTCAAAATGTAGGCTCATGTAATTATATTAAACATCATATTTTCTAAAAATCTATCTCAATCTTTAAAAGTCAGCATGAAACAGAATTGTGCAGTAGTTTTCTTCTCTACTGTAGTCTGAGTCAATGGCATATTGAACTGGTAAAAATGAGATTAGAAACTGATTAGATCATTAAATTACTATTGCTGTGATCGGTAAGTGACAGGTTGTTTCACCCTTGTTATCAGAGAAGAGATATTGCTGCAAGGTTTAGGAAATTATTATGATTTTTAAAAGGAAGTCACATTAATTTGCCACTGTGATATTCTCTTAAAACTTAAGAATAGTTTTTTTCATACTCTGTAACTCAAAAAGTAGCATGTGGAGCCAACAACATCAAGGCCATGGGTTCAGTTCTCAGGAAACGTGCTAGAATACAATTAAATTGATTTTGGATCATTTTAAATAAAAGAGTGACATTCCCACGCTTCATTCCTCATTATTTTAGGAATCCTTTAATACTGTAAGTGTATTTGAAGCTCTGCTACAGCTCACCCAGCGTGTGAAGGTGAGTCCGCGTAGCTCTGACGTAAAGCCTGACGTTCAGCCACTTGATGGTGAAGGGAGGTGGGCTGCAGTCACAGACTTCTTATAGAGGAGGGGTTGCCATCCATCCAAACCCCTCCCCTTTCATTACCCCATCTCTCTCTCTCTCTCTCTCTCTCTCTCTCTCTCTCTATTCATTCCTTCTGCTCTGTCTGACTGAGTTGGTTTCACACACACACTTACACACGTGCCACTCTATGTGTCTCCTCTCCTCTCTCCTCCTCTGCAAGCATGGAGTCACATCATCACTGAAGTGTGGATTTGCTCCTCTTGTTTTCTCCTCTTCTCTTCATTCGGTGTGTGTGTGTGTGTGTTTGGTTGTCTGTTCCTGGGCAGGAATGCTGGTGTCTGCGACAGCGCTGTTGGGGGCTACGCTGGGCACAGTGTCTGGAGTGTTGACACTATGTGGTCTCTCCCTGCTTTGCAAGAGCTGTAAAAAGGGGAAACTTGAGAGTGGAGATGAGGCTGACCCAGAGAAAGCCAAACCTAGTATCCTGCATACTCTGACACAGGTAAGACATACATACACTCACACTTAGCAGCAGCGAGCCAGCTGCCAGATTTAAATACAGAGCTTAGAAAATGAGAACAGATATGAGAAAATATGTTGGGATATGCAGAGAGTGAAATGTTCTGACTCACCTGAGTGGAAGGATAAAAGTGGCGCTTATGTAACGCAGGTTAGCTCACTGACACAGAAACAGTGATATTGTACTAAAAGTGATTGCTTTCTATATAAAAAACTGGTATTGCTCTATATATGCACTGCAAATCAAAAGCACATGTAACTACTGTTGTTTAATTGGGCATCGTTTTCCTTCTGGTTACTGGTGATTGGTGTAGAAAAGCTTTTTTTAATGGAGTTGTAATGAAATTTTCAGACATTTTCATTTGGTAATGAGATTTCATTGGTATTATGTGTTTTACAGTCAGTCAAGTTTATCTGAGGAATGCTGGTTACTGTTCTAATGAGAAGCAAAAGATGTTCATGAATACAGCGAGAAATCAGACAAGAGCAAACAAGATTGATCCTGTCACAGTTCTGAATCTTCTTGAAATAGAAATAAAAAATTACTTCAGTCTCCCTGAGGCCGAAAATTTTTTGATTATCAGATCTGCAAATCAAAATCAGCCATCAGTTTCTGCTCTCTCACACACAACTCAGGCTGTGTCAAAGAACACTGAGTTCGTCCAGTGACAGTCTGGTTAAGAGATGGACAAGCGTGTTATTATTAGCTTCTTCTCCGGAGTGCTTTTATAAAAGATAATTCAATTATAAATGATTTGTTCTGCCATTAATTCATTAAACACAGACAGACACACTGGTGAACACACACTACTAAATCTGACACTGAGCACTGGTGTTATTCGGCATCTGCTGAGCTTTCCCTGAAACAATCTAGAGTCATGACTCTCATAGCTGCACATACACACATGATTGTTCTTCTATCACGATCAGGGCTTTCTGTGTTATCTTGTATTGTTTTTATCTACAGCTAATAATTATTATTTTTCCCTGCCTGTAAATGCAACCCTCATTAAAACTTTAATATTCATTCACACTTTTTTTTTTCGTTGGGAACATTGAAAAATGCTAACACTAACTCACTCACTTTCCTTCAGCTTAGTCCTTGATTTTTACGTGGACCACCAATTGCTCCAGCATATGTTTTATGTGGCAGATTCCTTTCCAGCTGCAACCCAGTGCTCTATCCCATTCACTCTATCAGGGCCGCCACAGCAGATTGAACCACCAATTACCCTGGCATTTGTTTTATGCAGTGGATGCCCTTCCACTGTCCATATTTATACAAAAAAAATTGTTACTAATCATCAGTAATCTCAGTACAGAATATGTGTCTGCTGAAAGAGGAGCTAAAGTAAAGTCATGCAAATCATAGAGCAAAATTTATCAGTAGTATAATGTATTCACTGAAAGTGGCACTATATCTACAAACACATCTGTCAGCTGGCTCTCTCTATCTGGGAATTTGGTTTTAAGGGTTTATTTATTCATTTTCTTTTTGGCTTAGTTTCTTATTTATGAGGGGTCGCCACAGAGGAATGAACCACCATTTTAAGGGTTTAGTTAGAATTTAATATTCCAATCTCCCAAAGTATTTGTGAATGTGTTATAATGGTGTTTTTCCATGGAATGATGTGTTTGTCTGTTTATTGTTCAGTGATTCAGTGTCAAGCAAATTTCTTATTAAAAAATGAAAGTCAGTTCTATCCATTTTTCGGTTTTGGTTTACAGTTTTAATAGATGAAATTGTCTTATGTTATGGGAGTTTACTCAAAAATAATGTTTAAATAAAATAGAATATTCATTTGATCTAAGGGACAGTCTACCAGAAACGTACATTTTCAGACACAAGAAAATGTGACAGGTTCTGACTTAAGCTCGTCATCCTCAAAAAAATCATACAAAAACCAGCATAAAATCATACAATTCAATGACAGAACACATCCTTGGTCACTATCAGCTTCTTTACCATCAAATGATGTTACTTCCGAGCCATAGCCTTAAACATGTATTGCACGCATTTGATGTTAAATTTAATGCAAATGTGACAAGACTAACAGAAACACGGGGACAATTGTACATTTAGTTGTATTATATATTTGTAGTATTTATTTGTGAATTTCTTAATGTAATGGTTTTGTCAATTGATGTGGACTATAACAACTTAAACTTGTTATTTCTGAAGTATTTTCTTTAAATAACAGATTTTAGTATAACTAGGTTCAAATGGGCTGAGGAAAAGCACAATAACAGGGTTTGTACATTTGTAATGTGTTTTAAATAAAGAAAAAAATCTCAGAACCAAATGAATGACATACTCCATTACTGAACAACTCACAGAATTCAACCATCAGCCCATTTTAGACACGTTTGGGATGAAATACTTTTTATGCACTGTATTTAAGTTTTTATTTCGGGGACAGATATAATATGTATGTTTCTCATAGAATATCCCCTAAGAAGTACAAAGTAAATGTATATGTGATGTACATTGATCTTTTTCAAATGATGAACTCTCAGATCAGCTCAGGAGTTGAAGTCCATGTGTTCTTGTGCTAATATAATGAGACACCAGCTTCAAACACAAACAAGAGCAAAAAACAAAACAAAGCAAAAAGTGAGCACTGTCTCCTTGCACTATTATTTATTATTAATGAACAGGAGGGGTTGAGAGATGATAGAGGAATATGAATGTCCTCTTCCACCCATTTAACTGTGCACTCCATTTCACCACGATAACTGTCCACCTGGGGGAAATGGAGTGTTCTCGTATTGATTTTTTTCTTTTCATTCATGCTTGACTGTTTTTTTAGACTCTACACATCAAAACCCCAATGAAACCTGAAACTAAATTGATGTGGCCCTGTCTCATGTCTGTGACGTAGCAAAGAGGTTAAAATCAATACAGAGTACAGGTCTGCATAATTTAGAGTTTGAATATATTATAGTATGATCAGAATTGACTATTGTATTGTTATGTTTTACTTCGGGAAATAAAAAAGATTTATTCATGCAGTCTAAAAATGCTGGGTTGTTTTTAGCATTTATTACAGTGTGCTGGGTCTATATGCTACATTATTTGGTTTATTGAGCTCTGTTTTTTTGGATATACTCTTTGGTTAAGATCAAGTATGTCTGAATATTCCATTGTAAATTTAAGAAATTGATCAGCAGTTCAAATACCTAATGATTTACGGTAGGAAGTTTACAAAATATCTTTAAGGAACATTATTTTTACTTGCTTTTCTAATGATTTTTTTTTTTTTGCATAAAAGAAAATCGATCCTACAATGTATTTTGGATTGGGTATCGAACTATCTAAGTATAATTTTTATCAATCATTTAACATCCTTTTTACCCATTATCATATTACCATGTAGCTTATAATTTGTATTTCTCTTTCTCCTTCATGTGCATATTTTAGTTCAGTGTGCATAAGTGCACTGAACCCATCCAGCCTCAAGCATCTCTGAAGTTTCCTCAAATCTACCGGCCCAAACCTTCTGTGACTTCTCAAGAGGTGATAAACTACAAAGAACATGGAGCTTCCAATGACACGTCTGCAGCCGAGCTCGACACCTGTAACCAAGCAACCGAACGTGAGGAGGTTTTCTCCCTCCCGCGGCAAGGTAAAGAAATGACAGCTAAAACATAATGGAACTCAATGGGGAGGATCTGTGTGTGTGAGCGCGACTGATTTTACTGTGCGTTCCAGTCCACTTCAGCCAGTGGGAGACACCAGCTCATTTCAAGAGGGTCAGAAATCAATATATGTGAGGCTGACTTAATTTATTAGCTGAAACAATTACGATTGATATCTATTAATTTAGCCTTCAATGGGTTTCATGTAAACTGAAATTTCCGCCATTAAAAACTATGCAAGACACCAGTGGCATTTGTTGATGTCATTAAAATCAATTGCACAGAGGCGATTGCCAACCTCTCGCATTAAAGCAGTGAAACCTGCTATTGTATTCATGCCTGGTGTCTGAGCTACATTGAGCTGACTCATAGAGCACAGATTCCATCATGATAGGTAAAGGTTAAACACAATATAATAATTCATGATCAAGGCCTTCCTTTCTGAGCCAGAGTAAAACACTCACTGTAGCAGATGCAGAGAAAGTAAGAAGCATCACGTTTCTCGAAGAACTTAACAAAGGTGTACTGACATATACTGACAAAATGATTTTTGCTGCTTGTTCAAACTACTAATTTAAAATGAGCTGAAACAACACAATTCTTCAGATTCTTAGGGGATTACCTAATTGCTTTATGTTCAATCTGCCTAAATTTGTTACATTAACTTAACTGAATTGTGTTGGGACAACATGAATGAATTGTGTGAAACCCTGCATTTTTATGCATGAGTGCAATCATTTTGCTTCTATACAATAGTTAAACAAGAAGTTATTATATCACATACTAGCATTTTATATGCACCACTGCCTTCATAATATAAATGTTTGCTCCACCCATGAGAATGATTCCTTCATGCAGCGCTCAGGAATGAATGAAAAACCAAATGAATGGATGGGATAATTGATTCTGTATCTCATTTAAAAAAAAATTCACCACTGATTGGAAAACTGATTCAACCTGTAAAGGAGTCACGAAATAAAGTCCCTGGAGTACCAGAACTATCTCTTCTCTACAAAACATGATGGGATTTCTGGGAGATGCTCATTTACTCAGAGTTCAATCTGCTCTAACATTCAATTCCTCTACAGCTTCTGCTGATGAAATACCTTGCTCATCTGAACAAACTGGTGCCATGACGACAAGTAGCTCCATCCTGTATCCGAAACTGCACTTCTCCATCAGCCTGCACAAAGAAAGCGGAGAGCTACACATTAACATTGTTGAAGGTAACAATCACTCATTTACTCTACCGTTTCTAGAAAGAACTCTTGTGGATTGAATCTCAGACTAAATGGGATAGCATTTGTTTGATTAATGTATGTAAAAAAGGACATTTCAGACGTGCTGGATTACTGAAATGCTATAATAATATAATAAAGATTTGAATTGCTTTGATTATGCACATGGTTCAAAACACTTGCTTTTTTCAGAAGAATTTTAGGGGCACAGTGAAAATCTATTAGATAAATTGTACTTTTTGATTGCTGGCTGCATTTCTTCTACCTCACCATATCGAGCCATAATTAGAAACAGACAAATTGTCTTCTGTCTGATGTTAATGTTGCTCTGGTGTAAAAGTTACTGTAAAACAACCAACATTATTACTGTTTCCTGTACTGTTTTTTTTTCTGGACTGGGCTTTTAAAATTAAGATATAGGAAGAATCTTTTAGGCCTACGTTATTCATGTAACTGATAACAATGTGATTCAATAAATAAATCAAAATAGCTAATTTTTTGTTTAACAAGCACTTATTCTTATCCATATGTGAAAGTATAATAATAAAATACAAATAAACATGCCTATGGCTAAATATAATAGTTTATTCATTCATATTTCTTCCTTAAGTTCCTTTATTTATCAGGGGTCCCCACAGCGAAATGAACCGCCAACTGATTCAGCATATGTTTTATGCAGCGGATAGCCTTTCAGCCACAACTTAGTACTGGGAAACTACACTTGGACTGTACCCAGAGGAAACCTACGCAAACACAGGGAGATTATGCAAACTCCACTCAGAAATGCCAACTGACCCAGCTGGAACTCATACTAGTGACCTTCTTGGTGTGAGGTGACAGTGCTAACCACTGAGCCACCGTGCCACCCTAATTGTTTATAGTTTAATTTAATAACATAATTTTACCAGAACTATCTCAACTCTGCTTTCTACAATACATACAGTAGGATGTACATTGGAAACGCATCTGCTCAAATGACACACGCAGCTCAGTTTTCAGTTCGACGCAGAACCCAGGCGAGTGAATCCTGAATGAACCCAATTGATTGAATCAAATGATTGATCTTAAAAGATAGTGACCACTTACTGAATAACTGCAGAAAGAGTCACTGAAAAATCTATACCACTAATGCATACCGGAGCTCCAGGAAAATTCCCAGGAGGACCAGACTGTACAGTCTCTGTGTTTACATTGTACAGTATGTTTGACAAGCACATCAGCTCAAATTACAAAATGATTCTAGAACCACTCTGTTTTAGCACACACGCAGGCCATCAAGGTTACGAAAACTTTTTTCAACTTAGTCCCTTTATTAATCTGGGGTCACCACAGCGGAATGAACCACCAACTTATCCAGCACGATTTACGCAGCGGATACCCTAAAAGCTGCAACCCAACACTGGAAAACACCCGTACACACTCATTTACACACATACACGGTTCAAATTTTAAAATATTTAGTTCACCTATAATGCATGTCTTTGGACTGTGGGGGAAACCGGAGCACCCAGAGGAAACCCACGCAAACACGGAGAGAACATGCAAACTCCACACAGTAATGCCAACTGATCCAGTTGGGGCTCGAACCAACAACCTTCTTGCCATGAGGCTGTTGAGCTACCCACTAAACAATACATTTTAAATCAACTTGATTGGACAACTTGTTAAATATCCATTATTATCTTTTTAGAATATGATTTCCCTCCTTATTTATCTAGTTTGGGTGGCTAAATTTTTTTCTTACTTGTCATTTTGATATTAACAAAATATTTGTGAAACTCTCGCCATTTCACCTTCAAGCTTTTTTAGCATGGAATTTGATTTACAAACACAATTTCTCACCACACCGTTACATTATTTGGAATAATAAGGATATTTTATATTTAAAAAATCAATTTTTTTTATTTGTTTGATGCAGATGATGTAGTTACATTGTATTGGTAGACCAGTTATTTATTTCAGACGGTCTTTTCTTTACATATGAGGAATTCTTAACAAAATATAATTTTCTTATACCACCAAAGGAATTTACAACAGTTTTTGGTATAATCTCCCCTAAAATATGTGTTGCATAAACAACAAAACAGATTAAATGATCAGCTATCAGCACAGTTTTCACCAGTGACTCTCCGATAAAAATATGCGTTTCCTAAAGTTGTAAGAAGGATGTTGAATCAAAACCAAATGCAAAAGCATATTGGAATCAATTTATGAGTGATGTCGATTGGAAAACAGTTTGGCTTCTGCCTAATCGCTGTCTCTTGACAAACATGGTTAAAGAGATTTCATTTAAACTTCTTCTCAGAACATATCCTGCCAAACTTTAAATAAAAAAAAAAAGATATAGATGTGAGATGTTGCTTTTGCAAGCAGAAGCCAGAGAATGCTGTTCTTTGCTGTCGTCAGTATTGATGAAAATTGATGTAAAGCTATTACTTTACATTGGAAAGATGTTCTTTTAGCAATTTTTGAAAACTCTAGAGACAAAAAGACCTACACATTTTTTTTAAATAAATTTCATTATTTTAATGGCCAAATTTCATATTCATAAATAAGATTTTTCAGGCAAAAATCCTTTGCATTTAAAAATTTATTAAAATATTATAATGTGTTTGTATCACCCTCAAAAAATCAAAAAAGTATGTAAATTGTACAAGCCTGTATAACATTTAATGATATGGTTTATATATCTGGTAGCACGGTAGCGCAGTGGCTAGCACAATCGCCTCACAGGAAGAAGGTCGCTGGTTTGAGCTCCGGCTGGGTCAGTTGGCATTTCTGTGTGGAGTTTGTTCTTCCCATGATCGTGTGGGTTTCCTAAGGGTGACCCAGTTTCCGCCACAGTCCAAAGACATGCACTATAGGTGAATTGGTTAGGCTAAATTGTCCGTAATGTAGATGTGTGAATGAGTGTGTATGGATATTTCCCAGTGCTGGGTTGCAGCTGGAAGGGCATCAGCTGCGTAAAACATATGCTGGATAAGTTGGAGGTTCATTAAATTGGGGCAACCCCAGATTAATAAAGGGACTAAGCCAAAAAGAAAATAAATGAATGAATGTTTATATCTCCCCCTAGCCTTTGAAATTCTCTTAACATTTATTGTATTTGACTTGCATTGTATTTTTGACATTGTTCAATAATAAAAAATGCCATCAGAAGGTCATACAACAGGAGCAGATACAGTATCTGTTAAAAGCAGGCTTTGGTGTTGAACTTGTAGTCTTCTCAGGGCTCATCCAGGTGTTTTTGCAGGATAGAGGTGTCACTGTGGGTTTACCCACCGCTTCCGGGGTCTGGGGGAGGTTTGGATATTCAAAACTCTCTGTGATTAAAGCAAATAAAAGCCTCTTTCAGGCAGCTTAAAGCCTTTTAATCACAGAATTATCATTTCAATAGCTGCAGCCTTGATTGATACGCATCATTATCTGTAATGAGGGTAAATCTGCTTTAAACTCAAAACCTCTATTCAGCTCATCCAAACAGGAAAGAGGGAGCGAGAGAGGATCAGTCGTGCTGCCTGAAATGTAAAAAGGAATGAAAAGTGAGGAGTCATAAAAAAAAAACAATAAGGGCCTTTGTGACTTTTGGCGACCCAGTTTCTCATCCTGCTCCTTGTTATATTATGATTCATATTGTCTTTTTCTGCACAGCGGAGAATATATCAGTGGAAGCAGGCTGTGAGGGATATATATCAGGGTGTGTCAGTGTCTCCGAAGAGCAGAAACATGCACACACAGCGGTCCACAAGCTGGCAGTGCATGTGCAGTGGGGCGAGGAGCTGGTGTTTGCACTGCCTATGGAGAGCACAGAAGACACTGACAGTCTAGATGGAGAGGTGGCGCTTTCCCTTCACTGCTGTGACCGATTCTCCCATAACTCCACTTTGGGCATGATGCGCTTCAAGCTGGCTGATGTGAGCATGATGTTGGACGCCGACTGCTGGGTTGACTTACAGCCACCCAAACAGGTGAGAAACATTGTTTCAAAATGTCAACAAGTCAAAGTTACCATTGCTAAGATTTTTATTGACTTTTTTGAAGATGCAGATGACACATTTAACAGTCATAGGTATCTTAAATCTTTGTAATCTGTTAATATTTTGTTTTAAAAATATGTCTGTATATTTATACAACAGTTCTGTCTGGTTCTAAAATCTGATTGGCTGATAGCCGTGATATATTTAAGTAATATCAGCACCCGTACAGCCTCTTTACCCTTTGTGTATTACTCCGCCCGCATACAGCCAGCAAAACGCAGACACTGCATCAACAAGGCATTTGCGTCCTCAGAACTGCCACTCACTGGATATTTTCTTTTTTCCGGACATTTTTCTGTAAACCCTGGAGATGGTTGTGCATGAAAATCCCAGTAGATCAGCAATTTCTGAAACACTCAGCCCAGCCAGTCTGGTACTTTTAAATCACTTCTCTTTTCCGCTCTGATGCTCCGTTTGAACTGCAGCAGATCATCTCGACCATGTCTACATGCCTAATTGCACAAAGTTTCTGCCATTTGATTGGCTCATTAAAAATTTGCGTTAACGAACAGTTGTACAGGTGTACCTAATTAAGTGTACAAACACAGGGGCTGCGTCCAAAACCGCCTACTACTCAGTAGGTACTGCATTTGAATTTAAACGTACTATTTGGCTGTTGGAAAAGTTCTATACAGTATGAATGTGAAAAGTATGAATGGAATTCGGACGTACTACATCCGCCATTTTGACACAGTCACGTGACGTACCTGCGTCATTTGCGTCGCTTTACTCCCATTCATGAATTCGCTCGCGGGGTGTCATGGGATAAGGCAGCGTGAATGGGATGCGCACTCCAGAATCTCACCGGAAGTAGTAAGTCATCCGGGTACTTCTTGCATACTGTTTTTTTAATTCTATGAATTCAGACATACTACCTGCCTCGCATACTGATTTCAGCATACTGTATAGTATGGAAGTATGCAGTTTCGGACGCAGCCAGGCACACACTATTTATCACTTAAGGGCTATAGATATTCAGTCTATACAATGGTACCAGGTTTTTGAGATCTGGCATATCATCATTTACTAGAATGAAATGAAAATTATCACAACAATAAAATAAATATAAGTTTTTTTCGTTTTTTTCAAACATATTCAGTTCACAGATGTCACCAACAAGTAAACCCCACAGATATGTCTCTCTTTTTACAGAATACAACGAGAAGGCATGTTAAAACAAAGTACAGCAGTAAATTCAATGTTTCTTTGACACACTTTTTCTTACTGCCATGGTTCCATTCTTGATGCTATATGAGTAGCTTTATTATGGGATGCTGACTGTGTGTTGATGTGTTTCTCAGTCTTCACAAGAGCAAAGTGCACATATTGGCAGGAGTTTATAAATAGCTCTGACATCTTTTTGGACATCCACATCCTGCAGGTTATTGCCCATAAGAGGTGTGTTATGAGCATAGATCTAAGAGTTTATTTCAAGAAACTGCACTCCCTTCACACCTTGTTCGCTTAATATCACTCTCTTGGGTCCAGGCCATAAAACACAAACACACACACACACACACACACACATAAACACACACACACTCCACCCCCACTGTTCTTTGATCAGCTGATGATGTCATAGACCTCCATTGCTGGAGATCTTTATTTGCGTCATCTCGCCTCCCAGAGGAGATCCGCTTCTAACAGACACAGACTCACAAACATGCCAGGAATTACTAACCACCGTTGGACTGCAGGGAGAGACAGAGAGAGAGTGAGAGAGAGAGTTAGGAAGTAATGCATGAGCAGGCTTAGAGGTGTTTAGTGTGTGTGTGTGTATGTTTGTTTGCATGTAGAGTTTGGCCTATGATGAACATGATGACGCAGGTTGTATGGTGCCCTTCAGAATGTATTATTTGTTCATATACAACATTCATAAATGCTTAATCATTGTAAGAGCTCTCATTAAGAGTCATATTTCATTAATGTGGATATTTCAGATACGGTGCATGAATGCAAGACCTTGAACTCATTAATGAATGAGGGAATGAAATGAAATAAACTGTACACCCACCAACCTCTTTATTAGATACTCTTTGCAGAACTGCCTTCAGTTTTTTTCTTTTTTAATAAAACAAAGTTTTGATGAGTTGGAGGCACGGTGGCTCAGGTTAACACTGTTACCTCACAGCAAGAAGTTTGCGGTTCGAGCCCTGGCTGGGCCAGTTGTGGAGTTTGCATGTACTCCCTGTGTTGGCCTGGGTTTCCTCCGGGTGCTCTGGTTTCCCCCACAGTCCAAATACATGCGAATTGAATAAACTAAATTGTGCATAGTGTATGTGTGTATATGTGTGTTTGGATGTTTCCCAGTACTGGGTTACAGCTGGAAGGGCATCTTAGCAAATGCTAAGAACAGGAAACTGAGGCTACAATTTGCACAGGCTCACCAAAATTGGACAATAGAAGATTGAAAAAAATGTTGCCTGGTCTGAGTCTCGATTTCTGCTGCTAATATTCTGATGTAAGGGTCAGAATTTGGCGGTCACAACATAAAAACATGCATCCATTCTGCCTTGTATCAAAAGTTCAGGCTGCTGGTGGTGGTGATGTAATAGTGTGGGGATATTTCCTTGGCACACTTTTGGCCCATTAGTACCAATTAAGCATTGTGTCAACACCTCAGCCCAGCTGAGTATTGTTGCTGACCATGTCCATCCCTTTATGACCCCAGTGTACCCATCTTCTAATGGTTACTTCCAGCAGGATAACGCGCCATGTCATAAAGTGTGAATCATCTCAGACTGGTTTCTTGAACATGACAATGAGTTCACTGTAACTAAATGGCCTCCACAGTCACCCAACTCAATCCAATAGAGCACCTTTGGGATGTGTTGGAACGCGAGATTCGCATCATGGGTGTGCAGCAGGCAAATCTGCAGCAACTGTGTGATGCTATCATGCCAATATGGACCAAAATCTCTGAGGAATATCTCCAGTACCTTGTTGAATCTATGGCATGATGGATTAAGGCAGTTCTGAAGGCAAAAGATGGTCCAACCCGATACTAGTAAGGTGTACCTAATAAAGTGGCCGGCGAGTGTATGTGTGCTAAAAAATATTCCTCACACCATTACATCACCAACCTTAACCGCTGAAACAAGGCAGAATGAGCTGATGCGTTTGTTTTTTTTGTTTTGGTTTTTTTTTGCTAAAATCAACTCAAGTTTTTCTCCAACCATGGCATGTTTAAGAACACACAAATCACCTTCTTCTTTAGTCTGATCTTTAGTTTGGCTTACAGCAGATCTACTTGAGCATGTTTTATTAGGATATATGTGTGCTGGTTAGATATTTGTGTTAGGAAGTTTCTGAACATGTTTAAGGAACTGGTGAATAAGCTGCATGAGTAGAAATTTAATTCACATTTAGACTTTGAAAATTACTATGCTAATATGACTCAGTGACAAGAATAAAAATAATGATCGCAGTACCCTAAAGCTTTCGATCTTTTTAATTTAAATCAAATTTCTCAGTATTATTTGTCACTGTCACTGCCATGGAGTGATATGAAACGTGACGGTTTGATATATCCAATCTAGTTCAAGATTATATTTCAGCAAATGTGTGGAAGAAAATGTCATGTTCCGCTCACACAGCTGATTAAGTGGGACTGACTAAAGGCGGGGGCAGATTAGCATAAGGTCATGATGGTAATCAAAAACTATCTTTCAGAGTGTTTAATCAGAGAGCTGAGCTGACAAATTTATGATTTAAAGTCAGCAATTTTTTGCCCTGAAAGATGCGCCTGTCGTGTTCAGTCTGCCTCACAAATGACTAAAACATTAGCATGAAATGGTTTTATGTGCAGTCAAAAGCCATGTTCATTAACATCGCAAAGAGGTCTTTGTGAATATGCAAATATATATGTGAACACAGAGATGTAATAGCAGTAAAGGTAATAAATAATGAGAGAGTAATAGCTTTATGAGAGAAAAATAACCTGACAACCTGTCAGCTGCGAATTCTCACATCAATATAGCATATTTATTGCGACACTGTTCAACAATACCTAATATTTTGACATTACTTCGATCAGTAGGTTTAGGGTTGGGGTGGGGGTAGGTGGTAATACAATCCAATTAATAGCTAATTTAATACATAATATGAATAATACTGTGTATAATTGCTGTTTTACATTACTGTGATGGTTGGGTTTAGAGTTGGGCTGGAGGTAGACATTAATAAAACACAATAAATGGGAAATTTAAAAAATAATATAAATAACAATGTGTATAATTACTGTTTTAACATTACTGTGATGGTTGGGTTTTGTGTTGGGGTAGGGGTAGACAATAACAACATACAATTAATGGCTAATTTTATAAATAATAATAAAAATTATGCTGTATAATATACTGTTTTTTTTACATTACTGTGATGGTTGGGTTTGGGGGTTAAAGTTATTAATTAAATTAACAGATAAATATATAAATATAATAATACAAAATAATAAAATAGTAATATTGTTCTAGTAAACTTCCGACCACAGCTGTATCCCTTCTAGCAACAACCCTTTAACTCGTGTTTTGTTTCAACAGGAAGTGACATCATCCACTGGAGAATTACTACTGTCGCTCAGTTATCTACCAGCAGCCAACAGACTTGGGGTGGTAGTAATGAAGGCTAGAGGACTCCAGTCAGATAAACTCAAAGACAACATAGGTATTCACACCAACACACAACAACGACACTCAAATCAATGTCAACAATTCCAAATCAAACTTTGGTGATTTGGTTTATCATCTGGTATTATTCTAACATGTCAGTTCTAAGATAGAAGTGAACCAAAGAGTCAGCAGCTCAGTGCAATTAATTTGACAATTCAATTAAAATTATGAAAACTATTAGTAAAAAGTTTAATGTAATAAAGACTTCTACGAGTTTGAAAGAGGTCTGTTTTGCACACCCAGAGTGCATTCAATTGTAGAGAATCCAAACAGTAATATAGAGAGATATCATTACAATTTAAACATAATTGTTTTCTATTTTATTTAATAAAAAAATGTAATTTATTCCACTAAATAATGGAGTATGAATTCTAAAAATTCAGTATGGCTATTACTGGAATAAATAACTTTTTTTTTTTTCATTAACTCCAGGGGTTTAGTCCCTTATTAATCAGGGGTCGCCACTGTCGAATGAACCGCCATGACATTTTTAAATATATTAAAATTTGAGAAGCACAGAATTATTGGGCAGACTATATAGCCGATTATCAGTGCTGATTTTATCAATAAAATGCAAAAAAAAAAAGAAGAAGAAAAACGAAAAAGTGTAAAGAAAATGTCACTTATGTGAAATTAATTTGAAGCTATAGCATGAACAACTTTTTATTTACATCACTATTTACAGTTGAAACCAGAAATTTACATACACTCTCAAAAAAAATTATCTAAATAATTTACATTTGCTAAATGCCAGAATAATGAAAGCATTTTTTAGATTATTTTTAATAAATTTCTAGACAGTCAAAAGTTTACATACATTTCCTTTGTATTTTTATTTAGCTTTGCTTTTAAACTGTATAACTTTGGTCAAATGTTTTGGGTATCCTTCCACAAGCTTCTCACAATAGTCTGAAGGAATTTTGGCCCATTCCTCCTGTCAAAACTGGTGTAAAATTTGTTGTCTTGCTCGCACAAGCTTTTTCAACTCTGCCCACAAATTTTCTAAGGGATTGAGATCAGGGCTTTGTGATGGCCACCCGAAACATTCACTCTGTTGTCCTTAAAGCACATTTTAACTAATTTGGCAGTATGCTTTGGGTCATGGTCTGTTTGGAAGACCCATTTGTGGCCAAGATTTAATTTTCTGGCTGATGTCTTGAGGTGTTGCTTCAGTGTTTCTACATAATGTTCTTTCTTCATGATGCCATCTACGCTGTGAAGTGGACCAGTCCCTCCTGCAGCAAAACAGTTCCACAACATGATGCTGCCGCCCCATACTTCACAGTTGGGCAGGTGTTCCAAGGCTTTTGAGCTTTCCCCTTTGTCCTTCAAATGTAACACTGGTCATTATGGCCAAACAGTTCAATCTTAGTTCCATCAGACCACAGGACATGTCTCCAAAAATTATTTTTTTCCCCAGTGTAATTTAGCAAATTGTAATCTGGCTTTCTGTTGATTCTGGCTTGTTGATTTTCCCATGTTGTCACAAAAGGAAGCAGTGTGTTTGACGTTTTCCTGGAACACTGCTCTACAGATGTGCCTCCAATTAACTCAAATGTTGTCAATTAGCCAATCAGAAACTTCTAAAACCTTGACACCTTCATCTGAGATTTTTCAGAGGCATAATAATCTTAATGTATGTAAACTTGACTTTCAAAAAAATTATAACAATCTCTCTGAAAATATCTCTCTCATTATTCTGCTATTAGGCATAACAAAAACAAATTTGATAATCCTAACTTACCTAAAAGTTTAGTCACACTAACACGTATATATTTTTAAATGTTTATGTGCCTTTTTATACAGTGTATGTAAACTTCTGGTTATAACTGTACATTCAGAAAGTCAGGAAATCGTAATTATGACTTTTTTAAATGAATGGAATACAATTTAATTGGCATGTCTTTCAAAACTGTGTAATTCATTATTATTTATTATCATTATTAAAACATACATTGAATAATAAATAGATGTAAAAGGCAGAGCAACCAAACAATCTGCATTAGTATAGGCAGATATCACTTTAAACAATCAGTATCAGCTGACAAATTAAATATTGCTGCATCTCTAATTAAAACTGAAAACAGTTCTGTTTAAAATGTTTCATATTGTTATTGTTTTACTATATGCACAAGAGACTTTCTATAATTCATAACGTTTGACCAGACATGTACATGCACAAATATGAAATATTCATCCATCTCTTCATACAAGACATACAATGTTAAGGTCAATACCGCATTCCTTGACAGATCTATCCGTAAAGCTGACCTTAAAGCACCAAAATGCCAAGCTGAAGAAGAAGCAGACGCGGCGAGTAAAGCACAAGATGAATCCAGTCTGGAACGAGATGATGATGTTGGAGCTGCCAAGTGAGCTTCTGGCTAAATCCAGTGTGGATTTGGAGGTACTGAACCTGGCCAGCCCCGGGACCCTGCTCCCTCTGGGCCGCTGCATGCTGGGGCTCCAGACATCCGGCACTGGCCTGCAGCACTGGAAACAGATGCTAGATAATCCACGCAAACAAATCGCAATGTGGCATCCTCTATACACCTAATGTACAGGGTAATAGTCTCCAAAGCACCACCAATGTGATAAGCTAAACGGGTGGTTGGGTTAAGCTAGTACTCTATTCCTGTGTAAAAATATGCAGTACTAAAATATATATATATATATATTAAACAGTAGTTATGTGTGAACCCAGTTGTCATTATTTGGTAAAGTGAAAGTTAAAGCTGAATGGAGACGGTCACATACAGTACTAATATTGTTACACAGTAGTTTAGAGTATTTTACAGTGATGCATTTACCTTCGGTGTTGTTGTTAATGTGGGTTTAAAGTACTCAATGCTATTTTAAACAGGTTCAACTTGGAGAAATCCTCCTCTCCCTATATATGTGAAATACAAAATACGACTAAAAAGACCCATATTTAGCTAGTATTATAGTGACTGAGTGAAATATAAGACAAACAGCTTATTTGTGATCTGATGTAAGGTGTAAAGCTGGGCTGAATCAGGTCAGAGAAAAGGATAAACCGCTGTATCTTACCAGGTTTGGCAGAAGAGATGACGATAAAGGAACAATCACAACAAATAATACGTGAAAACAGTCTCTGCCAAATGATATTATATGATCCACAGGCAGCATTTTTCGGACAGCATCAGAATGCAGAAGGGATCCTTTTAGTTTTGCTGTCATAGCTGGAGTGATGGAGAACTGATCACTTACTGTAGATTGATTGTGGCCGTTACATTTACAGGAGTTACGCACTACATTATTATACAGGGTCTCAAAAAGGCAGCTTTATTCTTCTCAAGATGCATGTATAAAGGATGTATTACTATGTAATAAAAAAATTGTGTGTGTGTATATATACATATATATATATATATATATATATATATATATATATGCACATACATATGTATGTACTGTATGTATATGCCGTTGAAGACATAATTATTAGCCCTCCTGTGAAATTGTAATGCTTTTACAAGTATATTCCATGTGCTGTTTAATGTAGAGAATTTTTTTCAACACATTTTTAAACAATAATTTTAATACTAATCGCTTATAACTCATTTATTTTGTCGTTTGCCAGGATGACAGTACGTAATATGGTTCTAGTTATTTTGCAAGATACTATTCTGTTAAAAGTACAATTTAAAGGGTAATTAGGTCAGCTAATCAAGTCTGGTTAAGGCAAGTCATTAGACAAAAGTGGTTTGTTTTGTAGCCAATCAGGGTGTTTCTCTGAAAACCATCATTAGCCAACTAAGATCTTAAGTTCCATCGATACAAACATAGTTTGTTAATTTTTGGCGTTCCCCAAATCCGTCATTCCAACAAACATTCACAAACTGTGTCACAAACTTGTGCGCTTGCAACTACACCTCTGGAGCTGTAGTTAGAAACATAGTTCCTGGCTGTATTCTATTCCCACTTATCCTCTCTATATGTCCTATTCATTTAGAACATTCCAACATTTAAACTTGGAATGATTAAAAAAAAAAAAAAGCTTTAAAGTCTTGACTTTAATGACCCTGTGTTATTATTTTAAACACAGCCGTGGCTCATGGTGGTTAATAATATTCATCTTAAATTATTTGATTGCAGATTTATTTAAGTTTTAATTCCAGCAAAGCAACAACACTTTCTCTAGAAGAAAAAATATTATAGGTGATACAAGTGAAAACTTCCTATCTTCGTAAACAACTATGGAAATATTTTAAAATTAATTAGATCATCACAGGAGGGCTAAGAATTTTGCCTGTATAACTAAGCAGGACATCTACTCTGGGCTCCAGACTGCCACTAAATCAGTGTTCTGTTAATATGACAAAGGTAAAGTAAAATAGCTGTTGCCGTTTTTATTAATCAACTGAATTCATATCCATTAACAGTACAAGTGTGTCATTGTGTTGTTTGTTTTATTTCTAAATATTTATAGCTCATTCGTTGCGTTATCCCAACTCTAGGTCAAGATGCTGCATTTCTAAGAACCAAGAAACCAAGCATGTTGTTTTATTACTAGTGTAGTGCTGGTACTGCTATCTGTACAACTTGGTGTCACCGGTGCTATTGCTCGCAAATGTTACTCTGGAGCCCTTTGATTATATACTTATTACTCAGTTTAAAGAACTATAGGTATATTACTTGTCAGACACATGCTGAATGTCGATATCATTATGTTTGTCCCATATAAAAGTAGCTTTTTTTTCACCCAAATACCAACCATTCCCCAAGCCAAACTGTTCTCTTATTCCATATGTATTTGTGTTTCACCAGGAATGCACATTTTGCAAGACAAATGCCTGACAACTGCAGGGATTAACAGTAAAATGTAGGCCTCCCAAATACAAATACCAACTACAACTGACCAATGCATCCAAATTCCACTTAAATATATGTATATAACTATATATGTGCTATAATCAACAATCAAGTGACAAACCAAATGAATAAGTAGAAAAATACTAAGCTTTCACACAAGATATCTGCTGAAGTATTTGTTGTGTGTTTAAGTGTTACGTGCTCTGTGCAACCTGATCAAAATATAATCTCCATCTTGAATAAAATGATCAATTATTCATCAGAAAGAATTATTTGTAATGTCATAAACTTAAATACACTGTTTTAAACTCTCTAAAGTATCTGTGAATTAGCAGTTTTCTATAATCTGTGATTCATCTTATTTATTTTTCATTTATTTATGCATTTGAATTGTTTTGAGACCTTAATCTTTCCTCCGACAACTTTTAACCTTGACAAGTTCAAAAATGTGACTTTTATTAACATATTTAATAGTTTAAAGGGATATATTATCTGGGTTGGTGTTGTATTTACGGTATAAAAACCTTTTTCCTCTATATTTGTACAATTGTTTATACAATATATTATTTCAAACTGCCAAAATGTCAATAAAAGCCACTTTGTTAAACTGTACAATTGGATTTTCAACATAAAAAGTTAACAGAGCAGAGATCAAGGTCTCATAAAGCCTGTAATTCAAAACCAAAAATAAATAGAAAATACAATACAGAAGATGTTAATTAACATCTTTTTTTTTAACAGTGTGTGCAGTATTTCACTAGTAACGCTGCAATATCACATATGTTGACCTATTTTGATAAATGCAGCCTTTAGATGTATTTGTGAAAGAGATTTGTGAAATCTCCTGTTTTAATTTGCCCATCTGTCATATTTAAAAATCAAATCATTTGCTGCAGTGAATATCGAATTCACATTTTCACAATTCACATTTATTTCTGTGCCTGATACTTTTGCCGAGAAGGAGGATATATGACATGTTAAGCTCTGAAATCTGATTTACAGTATTTATAAGACTTGCTGCATCCTGATTTCATATACAGACAGAAATGTATTACTATTTTTAACCCACAGATATGCTCGAAACGAATAGCCTCTTGTTGGTGTCAAATAAATATTCCTTTCAGAAATTGTGCTATATTTCATGTGTGTTTGTCTGATGTCAGAGATCTGGCGCATCTATTTATAGAACTGGTCAGATTTGAAAGATGACACACAAGATGAGGAAGTGACAGAGATCCATACGAACAACTCCTACGATGAGCACCAAATGAACACACGCTGACGAAAATATCAGTGAGAATGCAAAACAAAATAAATGGAGTGTGTAAACACTGGTGACAGCGTTTAAAAGTCATCTTTCTTTTACCTTGATCTACTCCCACGTATTCTTGTTGCATAACAGTTAATATTAATGTGCTGTGTGGATATTGGTTGGCACAGTCTCATAATCAGAATGGACGAGTCTGCTGTCTGTCTGCCTGGCAGCCTTGAAAATATCACAGGGTACCAGCGGTAACTGCAATGCATCGCTGATGAGCTTCTTACATAATCCTACTGATAAAAAAATGAAAAAACTCCCACCTGCTAGATATTGCCCTGCCAGAGCTAAAAATGGTTTTACAGGCTCACTCTTTCCGCAGAAACTCAATGAGAGAAAATGCCACATGACACCAAATTTCACATGACAAATTACTTAAAGCATGCTGTCACCAGAAAGGATTGTTAAGTAGGTATTAATAAGTAAAAGAAAGAGAATGGAAAGAAAGTGCTGAGCAATGAAATTATGACTGATTAATCAGGGTTGTGCTCTCCAAACACATCAGTTTAAATCAGTGATTTGCATATGTTTTGCTTTTGAAATGTTTCTGATGCAATGGAGAGAAGTGCTGTGACCACTCTTTACTAATTAAACAAATAAATAAACCTACAAAAACTCAGCCAAGTCTCATTCTGCAAATCTACCGCTATATATATTTCTGGAGAGTGCCAAATACATTCCAGGAGCTAGTTTGTTTTTTTTTTTTGTTTTTTTTCAGTTTTTGTTTTCGCGAATCCATCAGAGGCCGCTGTGTAAGCTTTTTCAGATCTCAACAGTAGGTGCGAATAGCACTCGCAAGAGAAATTTGAGGTCTCAAAAAACAAACAGGGGCTTCTGGTGGATTCATGAAAACAAAAACTGGAAAAACGTAGCTCCTGGGACTTATTCAGCATTCTTCATAAGTGTATATAGTGGTCCGTTTTCAGAATGAGCCTGGGTTAGTCAATACGGAGGTAAGCGGTCAGCTGCTAGCACAAAAGGGAATGACATCATAGCACCCTGTATCGTTTGTTCTAAAGATGAAATGCAGCCATACGTAGCTCTGGCTGCATAATTTGTGATCTCCAGAAATGTATATAGGGCTACGTTTTCAGAATGAGCCTATGCTGTTTTAGTTAATTGTAACCTAATGAAGTTTATCAAGTTCCAACTTAATTTTACGAGTTACACAAGCTGTTTAAATCATATAATTTCTAATGACATAAAGTTAATTTGATTCAGCTTAAAAAATTAAGGCAAACTTTTTTTTACAGTTTTTACCTTTTAGTTACCAATATGGACCCTTTACATACAAATGTGTACATTTTGAAAGAAACAGCGTTGTAGATTTATTTCTGAGAGTGTACGCATATCTAAAATTCATTGAATTCAAATGGATTCATGCAGAATTAAACTGCACATAATGCTGGAGATGTTCATTCTGCAACATTAGCATTTAAATGTCATGAGAGACAGACTGAGAGAGAGAGAGAGAGAGAGAGAGAGAGAGAGCGCACTCATTAATGTTCTCATCATGGTTTTCCGTCTGAAAACTGCTAAACTACG